CGTTCTAGCAATATACTATTTCGTAGGCTATAGTTGGTCGCATATATCAAATATTTATTGTTTCACATACTTTCGTTAAATAAAACCTACGAAATTACCTAATTTGATTAATATATATATATGACAATTAATGATTTTAAACAATAAAGATTTGATAACAATCTGTATACTTTTTATCATTTTGTTTATTTCTTTATTATTAAAATAAATTACACAATTACATTAATCATATAATAAAAATCAAAATTTTTGGTGTATGTTGTATTTCGAATTTTATAAAATGAGTATAAATTACTAAAACTGTTAAAAATCTCACATAAAATTTTAGGATCAAGGTTTTAATTTTTTTCTATATTAAAATATAATTATTATAAGACCATATGAAAAAATAATTTTATTTTATATATATTTCATATCGTTTCAATTAAACTATACATCGTATGAAAATACATACTTATATTTTTGATATTTGCATGGAACATATATTGAAAATTTAATATTTTAATTTTGAAATATGTCATTGTTTGTTAAAATGATTATAAATTATTGAAAATACTAAACATCTCACATTAAAAAAAATTCGTTGGTGTAAAGTTTTGTTACACAAATATGCAAATAATCATAAAATTATATGACTAAAAACTCATTTAGTAAATATCCATATTAAAAGTGTGATATATTACTATGTTTATATCATTTAAATTTAATTATATATCATATACAATATATTAGGATTGATTATTTTGATTTATTTACCCTAATTGTGAATAAACAACAGTGATAGTTAAATTTATATGCATACGCCAACCAATTTATTACATAATAGTAATGTATTTCTTAGTTTATTTAATATAGATATTTATTATTTTATAATATGCATAAATATAAAATAAATAATAAATATAAAATACTTATTTTGCATAAAGTGCAGATCTTAATCTAAGTATGTATCTTTTTAATTATTTTAAATCTTAATTATTTTTTAAATCTCAGGTCAAAACAAAAAAACAAAATGAGAATAAACTTTCTAATCAATATTTATATCGATTAATAACCAAAATTAAAAAAAAAACACAACAAGAGAAAAAAATGAAGATAAATAGGATTGACACGTCACGTAAACTTTTCATAACCATAATTAATTTTTAAATTGTTAAATTATGATATTAAACTGAGTTAATTTTTAATTTTTTAATTTTTAAATCATTATGGTTATGTTAAATCATGACCATAATTAATTTTAAATTGTCTTTCTGCATTTGAAAAACTTAAACTATTGTTTTTAAAAGTAATTTAAAATTTAACTTATTTTTTTATAAAATTAGTGTTATAAAAAGGTAATCTGTAAAAAATATAATTTTCTAATAATATTAGACAAATAAATAAATTTTATTAAATTAGTTTTGAAACTTTATATATTTTAAATGTAAATATTTTACCAATTGCTTCTTAAGAAAGTATTAGGGAACTTGCTAATACTCTACCAATCAAACCCAGTGACAGTCTGTTTATTTTTCATCACTCGAACATTCAAAAGTGAAAAGATATATGAAATCGGGTCCACTAAATTCTAAGTTTTGATCTACAGTTCTAATTACAATTGTTTTGATCCTACTTATAGATAATTATATAAAAATTCTAAAATTTTAAAATTTCAAATGCATATAAAAACAATTATATGTAAATTTTAAATTTATCAATACTAAACTTTTATATTTTAATTACATACATTTACTCTGCGCAAGGCGCATGTATTATCCTAGTTAAATAACTAACTAAATAAATCTCAAACAAAAACTTCACTAAACCTAAAATCAACCTATAAAGCGTTTAATATACATAAAACTACACACATATTTTTCAAATTTAAATATTTTTCAAAAATGTTAAGATTCCAAAATATAACTCTAAATCTCAAAACAAAAACTTCACTAAACCTAAAATCAACCTATAAAGCGTTTAATATACATAAAACTAAACACATATCTGTCAAATTTAAATATTTTTCAAAATATTAAGATTCCAAAATATAACTGTAAAATAAAAACACTGCTATAACATATGTTACATAACCTAAACCAAAGACTATCATGATTCATGACTCAATCTACTTTCACTCATCAATATTAAAAAAAATTCAATTTTAATAAATCTAAATTTATATCATTTAAAAATATTTATAATTTTATAATTTTAATTTTTCCCTAAAATCTCAAACCCCTAAAATTAAATAATTAACTAACTAAATATTTATAGTTACATAATTTTAAGTTTTCCTCATCAAAATGTTTTTTATAAAATTTCTAAATTATTTTTAATATCTACTATATGAGAAGATTTTCCTGAAAGTCTTCTCACGCGCAGGATAATCTTAGTAAAAATCAATATTTTTTTTTTTGTTTAGTCATAAGAAGCTGGTTGTAATTTCACTAGTATTTTGGATTATTTTTGCATTTGATTGAAGTTAGATGTACATTTGCATCTAAAATCAAAATTATGTCATATGTGGCGAATCCTACTTTTTTTGTCTGTCCAATAACTACATTATCTACTTACTATTTATTTAAACATGCATTATGTTTTCTAGAATAATGTTGCACTAATTTGAATGGAATATTAGATTTTAACCCGTGGGTCCGCACTGGTGTTTATTTTATTTTTTATATAAATATATATTTGTTATAAATAGAAAATGTTATATAATTATTTTATATTAAATATTATTTTTTCTAATAGATATAATATAATGTTTCATATATTATTTTCTCAAAAATATGTTGCTATTTATTTTTATGTTACTATTATATATCATATATGCGTCATCGTATAAGTAATCGTATTTTATACATACTATCATATAAATAATCATATAATTAATAATATTTTATACATTCTTTATTTTACTGTTATTCATGTTTCCAAAAAAAAATCATAAATATACTTTTACTTTAATAAGATAGATAGATGTAGAAGATGTAATCAATACATTTATATTAATTATTATCTTTAGACCTAGCATGAATATCATAGATAATTATTTTTGGTTTTGATGTTAATATATGAGATTTATTTTTAGTTTCAGTTGTGTATATTCTATACAATTAGAAATAAAATGTACAAAATTATGTTTAGTTGTTTAGGTTACATGGTTAAATACATTAAATTTCAGGATATTTATTTAATCTAAAAATACTTTGGTTTTTTTTTGTTCGGTTCAGTTTAAAACTAAACAGAACCATTTGGATTGGTAAATCTTGTGCCAAATGGTTTAGACATATACTTTAATTTTGTTTGGGTCAGTTTGGGTCCACTCGGAACGGTTCTGTTGGGTTCAGTTTGTTTTTTTGTCCACCTTTTTAGTTCTGTTGCATTGAAAAATGTATATGCGATTTGATTTATCTAATATACATTCTTTTATATTAAACTAGGGCCGGCCCACCCTACAGGCGGGATATACTTTACTCATGATTCAGATTATTATTTTTATATGATTTTGTGTTTTAGATTTGTATTTGTAAAAGATGTGTATTGTATGTTTTAAAAATTGGTGGGTTTTGATGCGAGTACGTTTGGTTGACCTTATTAAAGTTCTTCGTAATTGGATATATAACCTTAGGTTTGTTAAAAGTGTTGGATTCAACCTTTTTTGTAAGGTGTTTTAAACTGGGTTTGTGAATTGTGTTTGAGGCTTCTTGTACTGGAAAATAAGGTTGTTGTATGTATCTGTAATTTTTTTTTTGGTTAAGGTGGTCTGAGTTTATTTTTGGTTAGTCAAGCAATCTCCAAGTCTTTAACTTCTAATACCATATTTTTGGTTTTTTTTTTTAACAATCTTTCATATGTTTGTAGTTTTGGTTAATTTGTAGGGATACTCAATCCGGATTTTGGTTTTAGGTATTTTTGTTTATTAAAATAGCAACCATAATAAAATCTTATATACTTTGATTTGGTTTGGTTTATATACCGCCGATATTCGGTCTATTCAGTTTAATATCAAAAAACGATAAATATATTTAGCTTTTGTAATATTTTATGAATTAGATATCAATTTTACTAAACCATAAAGATATTTTTTATATTATAATTTTTAAGTAGAACATGTTTTCTGTTTTCTTCTACTATTAAAATAATTAGTAAATATATAAAGTAAACTTCGCGCGGATTTTCGTTATGTTTTTCATTTTAAACTTTGTTTTTCGTTTTAAAGTTTTATCTTATGTAAATTGTATATCACTGTTTTTAGTTTTTTTTTCTGTTCTTTTTTCTTAATTTCTGTTAGATACATGTTTCCTATAGAAGTCTTATTAAATTACTATACACTGTATTAGTGAAGATTTTTGTACTTTAAAAAAAAAGTTATTCTATTTATTTTATTTTATTATTCATTTGAAATAATAATTTATATATAACATTTTAGAAGAAATATTTACAATAACTTTAGATTAAACGATATCTATTCACCAAATTTATTTTTCTAGCTTAAAACTTACCTTAAAATATGGAAAATAATATACTTCTACACCAATATTCAGTCATTGGATTTGTTTTAATAGATAATTTCATTTTTGCTCAAAATACAAAATGACAAATACTCTAGTATATTCCTTTAGATTAATTTATCTACACCTGAATTAGCGAGAATTAAAATCTATAGAGAGCCAACACTAACATTTGTGGACTTATTCATCTATGTAGGTTAGATTGTTCCCTTGATGCTGATAAAAAGAAAAGATTGTCCTCTTGCTCTTCAATTACAACAACTAACAACTTTGAGTGGCAAAGCTAACAACGACCATTGTAGTTTTGGTTATCACATAGTTTTGTGAAGGTTGTAAATCAATTGTTATATGTTGGCTTAAAAATTGAACAATGGCGCCACCGATTTGACAAATGATTGCTTCAGTATATTTAGCTTGATCTTTGATTCTTTTATGAAGAAGGTGATGGAGTAGCATCAATCATTTACTGCCGAGAGAACTACAAATATTTATTTGTATCAATCAATGATTAGAGAATATATTAACTAGCAGAAAAATCAGCAAATGACTTTGAAGAAGTTCATGAGAAAGATGAAGATAGAGATGGTTGACAAAGGAAATGCCCAAAAAAAGAAGTTTCAGTTTTTGATTACACTCTTCTCTCATCCCACCATTTGGAAGACCATTAAGGAATATGCAGCCAGTTCCAACGTACATTGGACCTTGAAGTCCATCCAAAGCTCTCATACTAACATCAGAGAAGACAGTGTTGTGGTTTGCATAACGATGGTTTGGGTCGATACCTTCAAACCTCAGAGGGAACTGAACATAGCAGATTCTGCCGCCACCACGATCAAGCATGAAGCACATGTCTTCCCTCAAGGCAATGTAATTGTAGATGTAGTGGTCACAGTCGAGATTGAGCATGAATGGTCCATTAGACATGATTGCGCGCATTCTGACTAATGCATTCATGGCTCCTGGAATAGCATCACTTGTTTACTTTCATCAGCTTCCCTAAACATACGTTGCAATCAGAGAATAGTTTTCTCAACATAGACCGTTTTCAGCTAATAGACAACAAACGATACACACCTTTTAGCATCTTCTTGTGCTCTCTCTTGATCTAGATTCTGATGATTGCATGCTTCCTGCATATCAGGTTAGTTCACAATGAGTCACAAAGTGTAATTTTTATCATTTTAGAAAAAAAGATCTGGCATACATGAAGGTTATTAGAAATTAGAAGTTACAGTGTACAAATATTTCCACTCCGTATCTGTGAAAAAATATAGAGATGACATGGAGCTGAACGTTAACATACATGTGGAGATAGTATTAATAGAACAGGGAATCAAGGATACGTTTTAGATTATAACAAAATGGACAGCTAAAAATTTATTGATATTGAAGAAAACTAATAACCGCTAAAATGAAGGATGCTATGTTGTGAGTTACCTAATCGTATGTGTAGCCAGTAGCCACCAACTCATTTTTTGTTACTGATGTGATTAAGACGATGAAAGTGGCATATAACTAGCGTTGAACTTGCGGCGGAACCAATATACAGACATAAATGAAACGAAATCTTTTTTTTTCTTCTGCAAAGATCTGAGACATACGTAAGAGCTTATAGTTAGATAGACAACATCATCGCAATATTGAAATAAGTTGGTAATATTACTTACATTGACATCGATCATTAGCATGTCGAGACACGTCAGTTCACCACCACAGCGAGCACTTCTTGCCTCCCAGAAACGGAGGAGTAGAGCCTCAACGCTGGAATAACACCTGCCGGACTTCACATCGGAGAAAAGAATCCTACTATTAGTCATCTCCAAGGTAATATATTTAAGCAATTTCAAGCAAAAGAAGATCAAGGATGACGAAGACAATCAGCTATTTATACCTATCATCTGAAACAGATCAATGATGGGGACGTAGTGGGGAGGTCATTGATGTCGACGAAGTGATTAAACTGTGAGATTTTACGATTGCCGTTCGAGATAGAGATAAAGTCGGAAGCCAAAAAGTATCACCATCAAGAGAAGCTGAGATCTTTCGTTTCAGGGTGTTAGGGTTCCGTTTCCTAGAAGGCCAAGACAAAATAAAAAAGCCCAATTTAGTCCAACCAATTTTGGTTTAATTAAAAGTAGATGGTGTCGTTGGAGACCCAAACATTTGAGGCCCAAAAACAAATGTGCTGATGTGGACTAACTGACTGGCACCTACGTGACACTCTAGAATATGAGTGAAATACAACTTTATATAATAGATTATAATAATAACCAGAATCTACTACATATTAGCAAGACTTGAATATGATATGAAGATTTGTTAATTGATTGATATCTTATATTTCGTTTAGGAAATATAATAAATGTTCTGTTTTAATTCTGTGCACAGATAATACCTAATATTACTAAATTTCAAATCGAGTGGTATTAACTAACTATGCTATTATTACTATCTTAGGTTTAGTAGGTTTTGTTATGAGTTGTATAAGGTTTATAATGCTGGTTTGGGCTGGTCAACTTCAATTAATTAGATGGTTTAGCGGCTTCATGGTTTACGGAACTAACGGGTAGCAAAAATTTGAAACGACATGTTTTATGCTAATGGCATATGATAGTAATTTTTTTGGAAAAATTAGGGTTATTTCAATTTTGTACGCATATTTTAATAGTTTAGATAAAAGACTTAATACTTCTGGAGTTTCGTCACTCTATGCATGATGCTGGGGAGAGAGGAGCCTTTGTAATAAATAATGGGTGGCAGATAAATTCACATTTGGAGATCTTGCATAATCAGTCCCTTACACCCCAATTTTGGTATGTCCTTGGTGTACCATATTAGTCTAATATATCCTGATATCCGGTTCAACATCTCGGGTTTACCATATGAGATAGCCTCTGGGTCTTCCGGTTGGGTTCACCTCATTTGAAACTTTCAACTAAAGACAGTCCTTGGGTTATCCTCTGATCACCTATTTTGAATTCTTAGTTTAACTCGCTTGGATCAGCCACTTTGGTTAATCATCAGTTATGAACTTCAAACAAATGTTTCCAGTCAAAATATTTCTAGATCCGTCATTGATCTTTTTTTCTTTTTAAGGCAAATCATTGATCTTTTTCTCAAAAGATTATGGTGTGGTGGAAAAATAAAATGTGTAAGAAACTAGACATTTTATTAGTAAATATAAATAAATATGTTAAAAAAACTATGTTAAATTTTCTGTTAAACATACTAAAAAGTAAAATAATTAGGCAACACTGTGATAAAACACTGTAAGAAAATGATATAAACATTCATCGTGGGGTGACAAAAACAACTCATATAATTTGGACAAGAAGATGTTAATTAGAATTGTAATAATAAAATGAACTTTTTTTTGATAAGTAAGAAAACGAAACTTCCTTTGAGATTCGATAAGTAGTTGTGCTTATGTTCGTTCTACCACCTGATACACTAAAATAATGGTTCCTAGAACTTGGGAACTTTTTCTCAAAATAGTAATTTACACGTTTATTTTACTTGTTCACAGAAAACATTTCACATTCAGACTGTAATCACAAATACAGTTCACAGTCTTTCATGAATAATTGTTTTTTTATAAACTTTCATGAATAACTGTAATAGATTTATTTTGGCAAAACCCTTTTATCCAATAGCTATGAACCTTTTAACATTGCAAACTTATTTGGCAAAAGTATGTGACGGAAATTAGGCTATATTTTCTTTGATAGACATTTCGTCAAGATTTTTTAATTTTATATTAATTTTCAGTTAGTAACCAAATAATTTCAACAATGAGAATTATTTCGTAGTTGATTTTATTATAATTGTTAAATGTAAGCATCTAACCAATGGATTATTAAAAGCATATGTGTGGCTAAGATATCTTGATCTATCTTTATTAAATTTCTGTTTTATATATAAAATACTTCAGGAATATGAAGTAAAATATTGCTGGATATGTTATCGTGATGCTTTAGAATTATAAATTTAATATTACCAGTGGATACCTATCTTTTCTCGATCCATAATCTTTTTAGAAAAGTTGATAAAGTGGGATATGAAAATGCAATGCAACTAAATGCCAACAAGGTGGTCAAGCTTAATAGTATACTTAATTCGTTAATTACTAGTTTAGTATCCTTTTTAGGAAAATCATTTGGTTTAATCGAGAACTAGATTTTGATCTTGATCTGTGCCCCCACACAGATGTTTGATTAAACTTGTGTTCAATGCAAACTCATAAACCGTTGGAAAATCAATGACGGTTTATAAAAGAACCGTTGGAAGATCAATGAAGATCAAACAACTTGTGTTCAAGGCAACTCATAAACTCATTACGTTTTGGAAAGAACATTTTAGAAACAACTTTATAAAAGAATCGTTTTGGAAGATGAGATTTATGTCAATCATATCAAAATTACATTTCGGAACTATCAAAACAAAATCATAACAAACTTCATTATAAAATTAAGATTAATAAATAAGAAAAAGATAAATTTAAAAATTGAAAAGTTGTTTAATTAAGAGAAAAAATATATTCAGTATCTAAGCATTAAACTTCTAAAAAATAGCAGAATCTATAATAATACTAAACATAACTAAAACCATTATTTCTAAACAAACATAATCCTAAAACGCCTAAAAGATGAGTAAATCAAACAATAAATAAACAAATAAGAGTATATCAAGCAATATTAAACATTAATAAAAAGGTTTAAAATATAACAAAACCGGTTGTAAACAACCGGTATATAGTGTTCAAATTAAAAAAAAAAAGATTAAACATAAACTTAAAAACTTAAGTTTGAGACTGAGATTTGTTAGATGTTTAATCATACATCATTGGCTCACCCAACTTGAACCAATCGATAGTAGAAACCTGAACATCTTGATGCTTGGCTGCGGCAACAACCAGCTCGAACTCTTTCTTCTTCTTCTCATGGTACATGTAAAAAAGACCTTCACATTTTTCAAGGAACTCAAGTTTTGCCTCAATGCGAACCTTATTAAGTTCCTCATGGTGTCTTGCCTCAATAACTTTACTCTGGTCACGATACATCAACAGCATAACCCTATAACGCTGCATGGTCTCAAACCTGCCCCTCTCGTAAGCCTCCTTCATCGTTTCTCCTTCTTCCTCGATCATGTGACCTTTCATTTTTGGATCCTTGTTACATGCCATTGAGATACTTCTTAATGTTCAAGAAACAAAATATTTATTTTAGTAAACAAATATAACGAATATGGAAATATAATAAATCATAAATATTTGTTATGTTAGATGTAAGAACTAACATAAATTAACATAAAATATTTGTAACCCCAAAATATCTTCTATATTTATATCCTCTAAATTTGACACATTTATAAAATATTCAGAGAATGTAGCATAAAACCGTAACTGATACTCTAATCCTAGAATGACAATATTCAATAAAATATAAACAAAGAACCTAGCGACAGTTTACTCCAGGTAGATGATTTGAAATAGACTAAGATAGAACAGATCTAACCATAGAACAACATCTCTTATGTGCAAAAAGATAGAAAGAACAAAGAAATAAAATACCGTTTTCCTATGAGAGAGAGTAAGATGAAGAGATATTATGGTTATTGCAGACAATCGAAGAGTCTTATATAGATAAGAACTAAACCTAAACATTAGTGGGTCTAAATGCTTAACATAAATAGGTAAGAAGACTAATAGCCCAAAAGATATTAATAATTATGGAGCCCAATATAATTGCTTTGAAAATTTGCATCTAAATTCAAAATGGATTAGATAAAAATTAACATGATATGATTAAATACATGATTCTGTTCATTATGTGATTTTCTGTAGATATAAAGTCGAATGATTTGGTAGTTAAAATGTAAATTTGGCTGCATGGTATCATTTTTGGCTGCATAATATAATATAGACTTTTGAAAATGAAAGTTAAACTAAACTATTGGGAAAATATAATGGAAATGCATTCTAAAGTAGATAGTATATAAAAATGAAAACAACGTTCTCGAAAAAACCAGAGATTCTGGAAGATCTCTTTGTCAACGACATTCATTGTTTGTCTCTGAGGCTTCTCTTCATCGTCAACAATTAAAATCTTCAACCCCTTTTTGGATGTAACTCTTGAAATAGCCACATATATTTGGCCATGAGAAAAAACAGGCCTTGGTAGGTAAATGCCAACTTCTGATAGAGATTGTCCCTGACTCTTATTGATTGTAATGGCAAACGCAACAGAAATAGGAAGTTGCCTCCTCCTCATCTTGAAAGGTAACTTCTTGTCAGAAGGGATAATAGCAAACCTAGGAATAAGAATTACTCGACTAGCCTTATCCTTATCTCCTGTAATAACTTTTGCATTTATAATGTTAGGGTACATCTCTGTAACCTGAAGTCGCGTCCCATTCATTAATCCGCCAGTGGGATCTATGTTTCTAAGCAACATAATAGGACAACCAATATTTAAGCGAAGACTGGTTTGGCAAACCTGAGAGTTTGATGGTATTTAAGAAATGTGGAGTAAGAGCTTGATCGTTGACTGAAAATTTATCTGAAGCATCTATCGTATCATAACTTAAGAAGATCATTTCCTCACATGAAATATTTATAAAAAAATAATTATGTTAACTTGATATATGAATGTACAGTAATAAAATCATATTGATAACATTAAATTAATAACTAACCATCGAGTTTATCAAACATGTGTTGATTAATCTTCTCGACATTCTGGTTAGTTAGACATAGTATTGCTCTCTCTTGGAAAAATTTAGGTTCTTTATTCTGCTATAAAGAAACAATATCACCATACACAGCTTGGCTTATAGACTCAATAGGATTCTCTGCATCAAGAATAAGAAACTCTTCAGAAATATCAACTAAAGCATCGCCATCATTGTTGTCACCTATGTTTCCATCTCCAATATCTAATATCCACTGTGAAAACTCTTCCAAATCTCTACCTTCTTCAGGAGATAAATCGTTCATCAACCTCATATTTTTTGTTAGCTTCAACACTTTGACATGCTTCCAAAGATAAGAGGAATTTAAAGATGTCAAAACAATTTCAGCTCTTCCAGCTCCATGAATTACATGCAAAACCTGTCTAAAATCTCCCCCTAAGACAACAACTTTACCACCAAAAGGCAAATTGTCATTATTCCCAATAATGTCAGCCATACTCCTATCAAATGATTCAAACAATGCTTGCTCATCATCGGGGATTCGTCCCAAATAATCAGAGAAGCAACTTTAATCAAATTCGCTTGGTCTGATCCGTGAGTTAGTGTGCAAGTAGAAAACTCAGCTGGATTAATTGGTATCCTGAATTTAGAATATGCTGTCCTTCCCCCTGGTAGTAGCAAAGAAGCTATCCCACTTGATGCAACGTTCAAACAGATTTCTCCTCAGTATCTAATCGCATCAGACAACAATCTCCACAAAATTGTTTTTCCAGTTCCACCAAACACATAGAAAAAAATACACCTCCTCTCTTTTCTAAGACAGCACTTAGAACCTCATCATATATCTTCTTTCTCTACTCGTCCGTCATTTTTTCAAAGTCAATATCGTGATCAGCTTTTAACTGCTCTTTGTCATATCCAAGCTGGTCAATTATCAAAACATTCTCCTGGAGTGCAAAATCAGCTATTGGTTTTGGCATAGCTTCCCATTCCCCTAAATAAGTACCGTTCCTCTTCAAAATTCTCTTAATCTCGTGAAGAGTTAGCTGTTTTATCTCCTCTTCACTCAAATATAAATCTACAAAACTTTCATGCCTCGGATTAATATTAAGTATACTTTACAAAATTTATTAGAGTGTAATATTGGAGAATATACCTGGTCTATTTAATAGCTTTCTTCGATGATACTCAATATCTTCAGATAATAATTCTCAAACGTTTTCCCAAACAACTTCTGGCTTCGAAAGACTATCGGACATGAGCATGATCACAAAACATTGACGCATATGTGATGCTGAACCTGAAAAACTTGTCCTCACAATATCATCAATGTATTCTTGATCGTCTTCTAATAAAACACGAGCAAATCATGCCTCTTTGTAGGACGAATACTCAACGTTGTTGAACATTCTAATATCCTCGTAACATGTGCAACTTCTTACAATATTCAAGAGGACACGCATATAAAACTCTTGTTCAATTTTTCTTGGGGCGTAGTTGATTCTACCAATACTGAATCCTCTTTTTCTATTAGTAAACTTGCGTTGTTTTTTATTCCAGATAAACCAAATAGGAATTTCAGCTAGAGTGAGTGTCCGAGCAAAAGTGTTTACCAATACTGAATCCTCTTTTTCTATCAAACTGTTTTTCTGTCATGGCGCAGAAATTTGTAGAACTGTTATCACTTCAGATTTTTCAAGTAGAAGATAAGTCCATATTGCTCTGCGTCTACTGCAGTCAGAAAATAGACAGCTCGAGAAGAAGAACGGGTATGATAAGGACCCCATACATCGCAATGAATCATGGGAAAACATTAATTTGTTTTATTTAAACTATCTTAGAAAACTTCTTGAGTCTGCTTTGATCTAAAACAAGTGTCACAAGGACTAGAGGCTGCGACTTTATTCTTAGAAAACATAGGTAAGGTTGATAGTACTAAAAATGATGGATGTCCTAGCCGTTGGTGCTAAAGTAACTGATCCGCTGAGCTATCAACTGGAGGAATTACACTGTGCACACGTGCAGCCATGACTTCCTGAAAGTAGTATACCCCATCTCGCTCTTTACCGGCTCCAATCAGAGTTCTTGTGAAACGGTCATGTAAGAAACACAATGTATCAGTCAGTAGAGTATAACAATTTGTCTGATTCAACAATTTAGAGACAGAGATCAGAGAGCAATTGAGATTCGGCACAAATAAAACTGTGACAACCTATTCCGTGGAAGCTCACAGCGCTGTAGCGCATCGACCCCTACCCCTCCCTTATGAGCTCTCACTAACTCCATAATTAGGTTGTTAGTGCGCCTTGAACCCAGGACCTCACCCTTTAACAACTCTCCCACAGGACAAGCTGTCACCAATTGACCTGCAGTTCAATTGGTGACAGTTTTTCCAATGGGAAATTTGTTAAAGGGTGAGATCTTGGGTTCGAGGTATGCCAAGCGCATCAATAACCTACATGGGGGAGTCAGTGAGGGCTCACATGGGAGAGGTTATGGTCGATGCGCTGCAGCGCTGTGAGCTTCCACGGGATGGGTTGTCACAATCAAATGGTGACTGCTTGTCCTGTGGGAGAGTTGTTAAAGGGTGAGGTCATGGATTCAAGGCGCACCAATAACCTAATTATGGAGTTAGTGAGAACTCATAAGGAAGTAGTTGGGGTCGATGCGCTGCAGCGCTGTGACCTTCCAGTGGACAGGTTGTCACATAAAAAGTCGACTTTTTTTTGTGATAACTCATCCCGTGGAAGCTCACAGCGCTGATGGGTTGTCAACAAAACATTCTCAAGTCTAATTCGATCAGTCAATGAAAACACTCCAATGCGAGTTGCATAGGTCTTGTTTCCATCTGCAAATCCAACAAGGCATGGTGCAATGCTCAATGTGTCAATCAGTAACGTGAGATCTCCAGTCATATGATGAGATGCCCCGTGTCTAATATTAAATCGCCATGGAAGCTCTTACCGGAAAGTCGATCATATGATGATCGCGTTCTCTGTGTCACTTCCTCGAGGTGGTGGTCTTTCTTCCCACCGATCAGGATACCCAATAAGCTGCCAGCAATTCGACTTCTCATGTCCTCTTCGTCCACAATGTGAACATTGTGGGACACGATCCCTTCTGTTACCGTTAATCAGTTTGGACTGGTTCTGTTTTTGCCACAAAACCTACTGCATTCTGTTGAGATTCTTGATCTTTGGCCGAGTTCAAACGTTGTTCTTCTCTAACAATCTTTGCCTAGATTTCCCCACTATCCAGATCAGCATCAGACGATATAATTGTCCGACAAATACCACCAAATCGTGTCTCATCCAAACCCATTACAAACTGATGCATCTTCTCTGCTTCTCTAGCTTTCTAAATCTCAGCTGCAGCAGAGCACGTACAGCTTGGGAGAGGTGAATACATGTCGAGCTCTTCCCATAGCTTAGACAATTTTCCAAAAAATTCAATCACAGATTGTCCATCTTGACAGCATGACGCAAGCTGTTT